TAATCCTACTATTCTCATTGTTAAATATGAAAAATGATGATGTATCAACACTATTAATTCCCTTTACAATCTTAAACACCTCAATCAGATCCCTCCTAACCCTTCTTTTTTTTTTTCAAGAGAAAACAATTTGAGATATTTCAACCTCTCATCACATGACAACCCCTCCATCCCAAGCATCATTCTAGTAACCCTCCTCAGAACCCTTTCCAAGAATTCAATGTCCTTCTTAAGGTAAGGAGCCCAAGACTGAACACAATATTCCAAATTTGGCCTAACCAGTGACCTGTACAATGAAAGTTTAACCTCTTTAGACTTGTATTCAATATTTCTATAGATACAACCTAAAATCCTATTTACCCTACCACTAGCAGTAGGACACTGCTTGGATGGCTTAAAAGACTGATCAACTATTTTACCAAGATCCCTTTCTTTCATGACACTGTTAAGGTTGTTTCCATCCAAATTATACTTATCATTCAAATTATGATAACGCACATGCACTATCTTGCATTTATTATAATTAAAACCCATTTACCATATATTTGCCCAACTCAATAAATGATCTAAATCCTTTTGTAAATCAGAAGCATAGTCTTCACAGTTAGCAACACCCAAGACCTTAATATCATCTGCAAATTTAAGTAATTTATTTACCATTCCTTCATCTGTGTAAATCGATAAGAGCAAAGGTCCTAAGACTGAGCCCTGAGGTACCACACTTGTGACATTAATCCAGTTTGAGTGAACTACAACTCTTCTATCCAATTTGCTAACTTATCCCCTAAAGCAATAGAGAGAGAATTTTTTCCAAGCTTTTTATGTGGCATCTTGTCAAATGCTTTCTGAAAATCCAGATACACCAAATTTGCACCCTTACCATCATCTACATAAGTAGTAACCTTTTTAACATGGTTTCACTGAGGGAAAATCTTGCCTTACAAATCTTTTAACATTCTCGACTATTCAGTAAAATTTTAAACTTTGTTGAATGACTTTCCATAGCATGTTTTATCACGACTTTCCAAAACTTTTCTCACAACTGATGTAAGACTAATAGGCCTATAGATAAATAATAAATGACGTGCGCCCAATGGTTCAACAGCAAGTCTGAAGGCTTATACCACTAAACACTGTGTTTCGATACTCGTGGTGGGCACAGCACAAATATACTATTGTGTAGTTTTGTGCTTAACAAGAAAGAAACAAAAATAATGAGGTTACCCATATTTTTTAGTAACTTACGAAACATCTAATGGTTATAAGTTGTTGCTAATTTTAGGAAAGATAAGTAATTTGATTTTGTTTTTATAGAAATTATCGTTGTTATACTTAAGCTTGTTTCGTATAAAATATACTTCAATTTTGTGTCCATCTTTTAATCACAAAATTACGTTATAAACAGTGAGAAGGACAAGTTATATACCACGCCGGGTTGCGTATTTAACTTGCGCAGTGTACAGTAATCTACGCATGCGCTCTTGTCACACAAGCAATGGTCGGAAGAGCGTGAGGTTGTGTTTATTTTTACATTGTGGTCTCTGCTGGTCTTTCTATGTTTGATATAAAAAATGTGTCAATTATTTCTTAGTTGACCAGTTACAAGAATAGTAAAATGAGTAACAGGGGCCACATACCACAGTCATTTTACAGCAGTTCGTGGGCAATACGTCAAGAGATTCATCGTTTTGAAAGTGTCCACCCTAGTATCTATGCGATTTATGATTTGCTAGACCTTATTCCTGACCCACTCTTGGCAGCTCAAATAAGGGACCAAGTTGTCCGAATTGAGGGTAAGTTGAATTACGTATTTTTTATGAATATTTTCAGTTATATAGAGGTTTTCATTCTGTAGGTGCTTAAATGGTGAATGAATGAATTCTTATGGCTTTTGTGTTCTATCTGTTTTTTTTTTTATAAATTAATATTTAGGATTGGATGAAAACTTTAGTAAAATTAAAGTTCAAATCATAATTTAAATGGTGTAAATTATTAATTTTATACCTGTTACGTTCAGATACAGTAGTCAGACCCAGTAATTAACATGAAAACAATCACCTGCTTTATTCCTATTCAGTTGTCAAGTTATTTTTCTTAAGTTAAACCTACCTCCAATTGAATGTTTAGCATTGTGAACGCCAAGGTCAATTTTTTTTTATTTAACGATTTCAATAAAATTTGTAGAGACAAAAATTTATAAAATATTTAATTGCTTTATCAGCCCCAGGGCAATGATTTGTTTTTTGATGTTGTAAAATTATGTTAAAGTTTAGTCATTTGAATATCAAACAATATTTAAAAATATACAAAAGTTAAAAAACAATTAAATATGTACAATAATTTAATGGGGATATTCAGAATAAAATTAATACTGAATTGCATTGTTCGTGAGTCATTAATAATCTTCAAAGATTCAGTTATGTCATTTTGAAAAACATGAATTTCACAAAACATTTCTTATTTGTGTACCTACTCACCATTACCTTGTAGTAATGTTAAGTAGATTCTAGGCTAGAAAATGATGAGTTGAATTGTCTAGTTTGTAGAATTACATGTACAACAAGTACGGGTAGTAGCTACATTTTGTCAAAAAATATATAGGCATGAGACTCTGTTAAAAACTTGATCACAGGTCTTACCCTTAACTTTAGATATATACTTATACCTCACATTGAAAAAAAAATGCATGGAAATTACTGTTTGACAGTTTCATTGACAGTTATAATGTGTGATATACTCTGTTTTCATGTCTGAATGTTACTTAGGTGATTATAATGTACATTTAATTTTGACATTCATTGTGTTCATAATTAAATAATGTTTATTTTACCTTTCCTTAATATACAGAATTTTTACACTATTATAAGGTATTTATTATCTCTGATATGATTATTGCAAGCTTCACATTGTACTCCATTTAAACATTTTATTAGTACAGTGTTGTTATTCACATAATTTGTTAGCAATGTGTGAGGGCATGCCATAAGGTGTTTCACAGAGTTAGTGAAATTATGTGATTTATAAAATTACTAGTTAATGTATGGTACAAGTACATATCTGAATGTTGAATTGCTAGTGTACACTAGCACTAGATTATTTAAGTTTCCTTTCATGAAGAAATTCTTTATTAGTGTTTCACAAATTAATCATATTAAAATTAGTGAATTCTTTTGATAACAGAAACTTCAAAACTGTTGTGCCTAAAACAAAGTATGTTTCCAAAAATACATCTTTAAGAAAGTTCACAGAAAATATTTTACTTACCATATTTCACAAATTTCTCATTTAATAACCAGAAACGAAAAGTTGAGTATGATACTGTAAGTAGGATGATAATTTTTTCAGAACTTAAGAAAATGCTAGGTAATAGAAAACCATTTAGACAATCAGTAACCCAAAAACAAAATTATTTACTCTTTTTAAATACAAATGAAATATAGTGTTTCACATCCATATATACCTATGTGACAAAATTTAAAACAAATCATACTGTACATTATTACATTATTATGCAAACTGTTCAACTGTTTTATAACACTTTTCAAAAAAAATATTCTGTTGAAAAATAAGTTGACATCTATAGTATTTTTGAAACCTTTTATATTTTTAGAATATACAATTTTGTATTTTAAACATTTTTTATTCTAACACATATAGACAACCTCCAATATGACATTATAAACTTTTAGCAACTTTGAACACCTGAGTTAAGCCCTCTGTAATTCTTCTGCTCTCCAGTATAAACAAGCCCAAAACTTAAGACTCTTTTCATAGCTTAGATGTATTTAACCAGGTATCATTATTGTAGCTTATTTCTGCACTGTTTCCAACATGTTTGTCATTTCTGTAGTAGAGAGACCAAAATTATATACATTTCTCTGTATGAAGCTTTGCCAGTCTTGTACAAGGCTACAATAATCTTCTTGTTCTTAAAATGAAATCTTAGAAATAAAACAATAACTATTTTTTTAGAACAGATAAATACTGAGCAGAAGGCTTGAGGTTTTATTAACAATCACTTCTGACTCCTTCTCCCTCTTTTTTTTTTAATTTCCTCACAACATCATTGCATTACTTCTCTTATGAAAAAAGCAAATCATTTTTAGTTTTCACACTCCTCAAGTACACATCTTTTCATCTTTCATATTCTAACCCATTCACTCAAATTGTTAAGATAATTTAATTTTGCTTCATTTTCAAAGATTAGGTAGGATATTTTGACCCATCTAGGGGATTTCATTATATACTATCATTCTACTCCAAACTATATAAAGAAAGTTATTTTTTATATCCAATCCTGACCTCTAAAATACTTGTCTAACTATCTCTTAAACTCATTTAATGTTCCAGCTTCTACCATGTATGAAAGCAAACTAATTTATAGGCTGACTGTTAGTAAAGTAAAACTGCTTCAGCTGGAGTTGTGCCTGGGTTTTCTGTATCTTAAACTCATATCTTCCAGTATCACTTGATAAAATGTGATGAAAATTTCCTTTGGATCTATTAATTCCAAACCTTTAAAAATCTGGAAATCCTCCTGTTAGTTTCTTTTCTGAACTCTCTCCAACAACTCAAGACTATTTTAAAATTAGGTAACCAAGACTGGACAGAATATTTGAACAACATCTCATAGAGTGAACTGATGACCTCCTTCAACTTTTTCTCAACATTTCTATGTTTAAAATGTAAAATCCTGTTTGCTTTGTTATAAACAACATACATTGTTTAGAAGGCTGTAATAACCATGTTCAGATAATATGTCTTCATCAACTTCACCTGGTTTCCCCTGCAAGGAAGGCTATTAGAATATTCATATGTGAAGCCAGTTTGCATAACTTTTATTAAGGTTTAAAGCCACCTTCCAAGTTTGAGCCCAGGTGAAATACTCATCAATTTAATACCTGTAAATTCAATGAGTTTACTAATTATTTTATTTATCAGTGTTATCAATCAATGTGAGAAACAGCAAAAGACATAGCACAGAAACCTAGGGGTATTCCACTTATAACATTAATCCATTATGATTTGATCTCATTTATATCAGTCATTTGCTTTCTTCCACCAAATCATTTCTCATTCCATTTAATTACTGTATCTCCTGACCAAAATGATGCAATCTTTTTAAAAAGTTTCATACATGGCACTGTAGCAAAATCTTTCTGAAAGTCCACATACACATAAGTACAGATTAAATGCAATAATTCTAAAGAAAGCTAGAAAAATTGTAAGATATGACCTTCTTCTTTTAAATACTTTTGAATAAAGGAATTTTTCTAAATTTTTTCAACGAGTAGTATGATCAGAAAATTTAGAAATATTACTATCTAAGATAAATTTTTTTATCAGCTGTCACAGTTTATACTTAATGTTTTCCACAACATCAATACTTCTTTCACAGAAATAAGTAAGTCCTTACTAAACTTCCATATTCAAAGTACATAAACTAACTACTTTCAAAATTCAAATTAATTTTGTACATTTTGAATGTCATTAAAAGAGTCATAATCTTTTATATTGTAATAATGTATAATCCAGTTTGCTTCTCTGGTAAAGGCATCATTCTATGGTATCATGAAAAAACAAAATTTTTAAAAAAGACAACAAATGTGTGCAGTTGCAAAAAAAGGTGTTTTTATTTTTAATTAATGTTGTTTAAAGTGACTAAGTATAAATGTTATCCTCCTTTTTTTATATATTTTAATGGTTATGTATTTTATGATTATTGAAATCTATATACAGTTATGTGTGCACATTTTGACTCAAGGTTAGTTATCCAGTTCACGGGGATTTCAGCAGAGTTTACGGAGATATTGATAATTGTTTCCATGCTACATTTTTTCATTTCTTTGGAATTAACTTATAACCTTTCTATTTTTGAAAGGTTTTAGGTTTTTGTTTCAATGCTAATATGTAAAAATAATAATTTCCCATAGAACAATGATTCAGTAAAAATTGCTTAAAAGTTTGTCGTTATATTTTACGTGAAAATTTTTCACAATTCAGAAAAAAAATTGTATATAAAAAAAAGGTATTTTTTTGATTAAATGTATTTGATATTTTTATTTATGCCATGAATTGAAAATTATATTGTTTACATGATTTACAGTAACCTCAATTTATTAATTTTTGATGCATGTTTAGCCACACAATGACTAACTTTTCAGTATATGAAACTTGTATATATTAATGATTATTTATGTTCCAGTACATGTAGTACCATTAAATGTCTATAGTTGTCTTTGGTTGTTATGTATAACAATAGAATTATCCGAAGATTGTTTTCAGTTCTTTTTTTTTCCAATAGTAAACCAAAATCTGTTTTCAGCAATCACACATTAGGTATGTTTTGAAGTAAAATTTTGAATAATTTGAATAACAATTGTTGTATTTTTTTTGCATCAGCTTTATTTGCCATTCTCCTCTGTATAAAAGATTATTTGTAGACCTTACATTTATTTCTTAGTAATTGTGACCTTAGAGTTATGAATATGGTGTCTATACATAGTTCTTACATTTTAAAATGGTATAACTTTTTAAGCAACATGGTAAAAAAACATGCTGGTCATAAAAACCATCAAGATTTGCTAGTTTTGGTCTAAAACGAAGATTAAGAGGTTAGTGCCAAACATGGCTGGCCTTCGGGGTGGGCAATGTGTTCCAAAATCAACAATGCAATTAGAAGTTCTTGCCAATTTTACAGAGGCAGGGGTACCAAACACAAAGTTCACACAGACAACAATTTTGCCTAGGACCAGCTCTGGTTCTAAAATGTTGACCGTTGACACTGTAACAG